GACTGCTGTCTGCCTAAGATTGGAAGAGAACAGGGAACAGTTCCCATGGTAGTGGGCACTTATTGGGTGGTCATTTGAAGACTCAGCTGCCACCCAGAATCTAGACAACACAGCAAAGTGGTCAGGGGAGTCCTGTGTTTATCTCTTCCATTGCTGGCAGTTGGACATGGCAAAGTCACTTTATATGTTCCAAAATTGTGCATCATCCTCAGGCCTCATCCCCAGTTATACAGACCATAAGAATTTTTATACCAAACTTTTTTATTTTCCCTTATACTGGCTACTCAAAATAGCAAACAAACTTATTGAGAGATCGGATAAAGTTATGCAGCTCTAGTTTGTATGTATAGTTTTCAATTGTATTTTTACACAGCGGAGCCATATTTATTGATTGCATAAGATGGGTATACACGGTTAAAAAAAAAAACAGTCAAATTGTTTTCTAACAGTTAATTGCAACCCTAGTGATGAAAAAAAAATCGGAAACAGGATGGAAAGTTTTTCTTGAATGAACACAATTCGAACAGTGAATGTGGCTTTCATTCCGGAAACTGTATTCATTTCCAAAATGAAATGTTAAAATCAACCAAATTTGGAACGACATTTGTCAAATCTCTGATGGCATTATTGAATGTTTTGATGAGATTTTTCGTAGAAATATTTGTATGAAAATGTACCAGTGTATGGCAAGCTATACACAAGCTCTGCTTCCTGCTTGGCAGTTTCACGCAGTGGTGAATTACTACCGCTGTTATTACCACAGCCATTATCGCAAAATTACCACTCCTCACAATGCAAATCTCTAAGTCGGCCAATTGCTTGAAAACAATACACTCCATAAGTTCCTGATATTTTATCGCAACAGCTGCTGAACAGGAAGAAAATGATTGTAGTGGCTAATCTGCACTCACCTCGGGGCTATTCTATGCAACTCTACATCTATTACAATAACATTAATATATAAGAGCAAACGTGACAATCTGAATGCCACGTCAAGGTTAAAGTTAAATACTACAATAATAACTTAAAATGTGTTCACCAAAATACACTCATTTACCTTTAAAATGTAATTCTGGGCAGATACAATAGAAACAAGTTAATGCAGCTCTGTATTTGATAATACATCCTTAAATGCAAGCAGTACAAGTATCGGAATTTAACTTGTGATCAGCCTCTTGCAGTCCCATTGAGCTAAGACTGAGAGAGGGAGAAGCAGCATGAGGAGCCAGTCTGTGCTGTAGTGCAAAGAACATGCTGATCAAAGTAGAGAACAGGGTGACAAGCTCATCAGTCTGCTGCTTCTCTTTTCACTGTTCAGTCAAAGGTAGGGGGGAGGAGACCTGTAAGTGTTACTTAACTGCAGCAAACACAAATCCTTCAGTAGGTAAAACAGCTGCCTTAAGGTGCCCATACACCTTACGATTATCGGACGAAACGTTTCGTCCGATGATCGAATAGTCGTACGATTTTGGTACGGCAGCCCCATCCTGCCCCGATGATCGCAAGATTAATTTAGCCGTAATTAACGAAAAGCACCTGGACGAAATGCGGTAATTGATTTGCCGTATTTTTGTTAGCGCAAGCGCAGTGTAGATCGTACGACTTTTGACGGACGAAAACGCCAGCAACCTTACGAAAATCGTACGATCTAGCAAAGTTTTCAAACATGTTTGACCGTCAAAAGTCGTACTCTTGTACAGTAATGTCGGTCGGACACTGCAATGCACACATACGATTATCGGACGAAAAGTCGATCGCATAAGAAAATTGTCCGATAATCGTAAGGTGTATGGGCACCTTTTTATATGTATTTCATCTGTGTATTTAGCTGCTTTGCTGGAGTTTAGCTGTAAGTGGTATACAGTGGTTCTAGGGATGAAACTATTCACAAGATAGTCAGGGCACAGGTTAATATCACGTACACACATAGCTTATAATTAGAGGTGCACCTAAATGAAATGTCAAAACCGTAATGAAACCGAAATTTAAAAAAAAAAATCAGGCCGAAACCGAAAATGTTTTTATTTTAACTTTTTTTAAAATGTTTAAATATATATATTTTTTTTTTTATAAACTTTTTAATTGTTTTATATTTATTTTTATTTATCCATTTTTTTTATTAAATATTTTTATTTTTTACTTTACTTTTAGGGGCTTCGGGGAAATATTCGGGATCTAAACAGATCCCTGATATTTCCCTTTTAAAAATAGAAAAAGAGACTGAGAACAATCTCCTCAATCTCTTTTTCTGCAGCCCCAGTTATAAATGAACAGGAATCCTCTTATGAGTGTTCCTGTTCATTCATAACATGAGGACATAGGGGTCTATTCACAAAGCTGCCGAGGGCAGCCGAGTGAATGACCGATCAGAAGTGAAGTGAGCCGAACACTGTTCAGCTATTCACTTCAGGCTGGTACGGCTGATTTCAGCCGTACATCGGCTGAAATCAGCCGTACATCGGCTTGCTTCGTGTGGCTTCGGAT